AATAACATACTGCAGAGAAGGATGATGGACGCACTGTGGGTGCAGGACCTATCGGATACAGTTGCCAGGCGACCGCATAATTACCCTAATTAGCGGTTTGCGCATTCATCGCCACTGGTCGTAATTGGTGCGAAGAGGGCTGATCGCCCGCATCCGAGTTTTTTATTGGCGCGATTCCGTCACCTTCCCAGCAGGACCGGTTACTACGCCCAGACGCAGTTTCGGTGCTGAATATAAAAGCTGGAGGTCATTGTGCTGGTTGATGGACTTCGGGCTCGAGAACCACGACTCAAGCCAGCTCGCGACTCAGTACTTTCCAGAGCACTGAGTGTCATCATCATCACTCGCGACGTGTGAACCGTTGGCGGCGGCGGCGGCGGCGGCAGCAGAGGAGATCGAGATAAACTGTGCCAGCTAAGCCGTCTCCACCTGCCGATTGCGCGCTTTCTTCTATTAACAAAGCATGCGTTGTGGGGGTCACCGACTTCTGGTATTAGGCAGCTGAGCAATATTGGTGGGGGTTTCGGCATTTGCCAAAATATCCGCGTAATTGTTGAGCCAGAAGCCCTCTCTCCAAAGTCATAACCCGGAACCGGCGTGCGACTACGCCGGGAACATTCTCTAGGTACGGCCTCAACTGCCTCTACCTCGATTTCCTACTTCATTCACCACCAATGCGTCCATTTTCTTTTGCTAGTCGCGGAGATCCAGGTGGTTGCCACTTCTTGTTCTGGAGTTGCGAAAGTTCCCATAACAGTAATCAGAGGACGAGGTGGTGAGCATACGTAGCTTTCGATAAATCCTCGTCGGGCCAGTACAGTTATATGGGAACGGGGGAAAGTAAAGCATGTCAGCGACAAGAGAAATCGATAAAAGTTCTCCTTAAAACACAGGCGGGGTTTGGGACTGTGGGGGAGGGGGTAATAGCAGTCAGTGTCAGGGACGGGGTGAGGGCGGAAGGGTGCGGAGGATTGCTCACCTGTGTTTTAAGGAGAACTTTTATCGATTTCTCCTGTCACTGACATGTTTTACTTTCCCCCGTTCCCATATAACTGTACTGGCCTGACGAGAATTTATCGAAAGCTACGTATGCTCGCCACCTCGTCTTCTGATTACTCCTTGTTCTGTTAAGGAACACTTACTCGGCCACTGAGTGCGTTTTCGGGGAACTTCGTTTCAATACTTCCCAGTGTTTGCCGCAAACCCTTCGCAGACGATCGTGGCACGTTGCACATGACTGACAGTTCGACCATCGTTTTCGATGATGTCCACCGTGTGCCCCACAGTTACAGCAGCAATGGGAGCAGGGACGGTGACTTACGCAGAGGTTTATAGTGCCGGTAGACTTGCGTAGCATCTGCCTACACTCCCTCCTCCTCCCTCGCCCAAGCCCGGTGTCAAGACAGAGTCAAGAAGACCGGAGACGAGAGAGGCCGCAGGTGGATGGCTCGGACGGATCCTCACCTTGGCGTTCCACCACACCCCCTGGTCCACACAACAAATAACCAGGATTTCAACCAACATAAGAGAGATTTGGAGGCTGGCACGGCCGAAGCCGCACTTGGGCGTGCCGCCAACGCCTGGCTCGGATCCCACACTGTGATGGGAGTGCACGTTGCACATATCATGTTAAGTAATGCCTTTTCGTGGTTCGGAGGTTCCATGGCTTACCAGGCCCACCTCCCCAACTAGAAATAGCCCGCACTAGGGTTCCTACTTTACTTCTGCTGATGTAGTTGTCTGACTCATTTGACTCTGTGCGAACTAAAAAAGTTTCTCAACGTCCAATCAAACTAGCTGCTGCCAATGACTACGTAAACCGTTAAGGTTGGCAGGTTTGCTGTGAGGCCCAAGCTTTACTGCCTGAAGTTCGACCTGGGCGGAGGATTGTGGCAGTCGGCTCCCACGATCGTCAGCGTGTCCACCTACTCATTTCGCCTTTCTGTCAGCCTCACACCGACCGCTTCCGCCGTCTGAGTGATCACCAGATGCAATTTGTCGCTCTCAGCGGGTTCCACTTCCCATGAGGCGTTGGTAAAAAAAAAGCCAACACCTGGTGCACGCTCCCCTGGAGTTGACCGGGCGAGGAAAGACGAGACAATAGTGGCTTTGTCCACGCCTTAGCCAAGGGGTTGCCTTCACTCTTATATGACTTTAACGACTGGTTAATCACAATAAAGCCTCCAAGTCACGGCAAGTAACGTACCATAATTGTCTGCACCCACTTCTCGGCAGGGATGAGCCCCGAGTTTGTAAAGAGCAAATCTTACAGAGGTCTGGGTACGAGTTCAAGCCGACCACATTAGCTGAAAATATGGGCGATTTTCGTGGAGTGGATAGCTGCGAAGCAACGGACCCTTTTACTGAAGACCTGCAAACAGGACTATCTCATTATCGTAAGCACAACTCTACGCCTCCACAACCGCCAGACAGCAAAACAGGTGCGCAGACAACTCGATTACGTCACTGGGGGAAGGGATTACCGTAATGCGTTACGGAGAAAAGCGACGTGCTGCGCAAAACGCCAGATTGACATATGCCTACATGTCACCAAGACGAAATGCCGAATCCAACCATATTGGAGTTCTCGGGGAAAAGGTTCGAGCCTGGACGAGCTCTTTTGATGGTGGTTCCCCGAAAAGGCTTGAAAACAGACTGAAATGATTGCACTTCGACGGGGAATGACCGGCTAGAAGACTGAGCCAACACCATCTGACCAGGCCCACGAACGGAGAACACTAGGAGCATTTGAGTGAATACGACAAAAGGATCCAGCTTCTGCTTTCCATGAGTAACCAGCTTCACCGAGTCCACGAGAACAAGACTCTGTGTGAGAAAGTGACATCCGCCAACTGAAGTCAGCAACTGACGCAAACGCCTCAGGAATTGCAAAACACTTCGGTGAGTCGTAATGCAGACGGATTCCCAGGGTGCGCCAAAAGGTAAGAAATGAATTTTCTTGCGACCATACACAGACCAAGACCACTCGGAACATTGCGGCTGCGCTGCTCCGGTGGGGCAATGCCACTTTCGAATAACTATGACAACGTGGAGCGGTGGGGCGAGTACTTATGAAACATGCTTGTATGTGTATATTCAGCCTGTGAGAAGGCCAACCAGTGCTGAAACATCTGCGTTTCACGAGTACAAGCGAAGTGACTGCAGTTCAGTTTGAGATAACCTCTCTACCGGAGACTGCTCGGAATGTCCCCTGTGTCCTCCTCCTTAACCACCGATCTTCACCTCTTGCTGACTGCAAATGAAATGTGAGCAAGTCTGCTACTTTCGCTGACCGGACGAGGCTCTTACATAACATATCGATATGGGATTCTGTAGGGGTGACTTAGAACACGAAGCAGGAACTCTGGGTTTGTTTACTTTCCTGGGGATGAGATTTTTCTTTTTCTCTTATGAGTACCCTAATCTCGACTTCCCGAGTCTATGGACGTAGCTTGATTACAAGACGGCACGTAGGCTCGCATCATCGACGATGGATTGCTTTCGGCTGCTTGCCCCTCGACGGAGGGGATGAGGCAGAGTTGCGTAAATGACGGAAGCGACTGATGCTCACTACATGTCTGATGGCCTAGTTTCTGCACCGAGTACTGAGCTCATGGGAAGCTCTTCAAAAGTAAAATGTGCGACCTTATGGTAATAACTGTTTTATTGAGCATCTATGTGAGTGCCGCCAACTGACAATGCTCAGCGTCAATGGTTCTGTGCCCCAAGTCACTCCAAGGTCCGAAAAGCCCAAATGACGGTGTAAATCATGGTTAAGTTGTAGTTCCGATCTCCACAGCCACCCAGACCATGGTGGCTCATCCCCTCTGCTAACCCAGCAAAAGTACAGTAAGCGCCATAGGTGTCGCGGGGACACTCAAAGGTACTTTCCAGAACGATTGCTAATCAGATCATCCCATGAGTGCAAAATCCACGGACGACGCCACGGCAGAGCGCCTGGTGCTGGACCGAGGGGACGTAAGAATCGAACGTGGCGGCAGTTTCACATCGCAAACCACCTCATCCCGCGCGGCGGACCATGGGGCTGTGAGACAGTATTCCTTAGCGTAGGCCCCCGAACCCACGCGACTTCACATCTTACTCATCAGATCTTGCGGCTTGCTGGCCGTACATAGGCACATTGGACGGGGCGAAGGGGTCTGGCCTTCCGACTTGGGTCAGACTCCGAGTCCGGTCTGGGACAGGTCGTGGAAAGTATATCTCCAAAAGGATGGACACCAGCATTGGTTTTATCCAAAGGTCCTTCCCGAAAACATAAAATGAACGCCTGCATAGCTGCTTCAGCATCCAGAAACGTTACTGTGCGCCAAACGTCCTAGACATCATTGTCCCTCTACTTAGACGGCGCCCCAAATCGCGAAGACTCAGGCATACCATGTCGACGTAAGAAGTAACAGTAATTGATGGTGAAGGGTGTGAACCTGCTTTACGGCAAGCCCGGGGAACAGACTAGTCCCAGCTTAACACTCTTCTGGTCTTGTCTGCCTAAATAAAATGCGGTTGTTCGTCATCAAATGTTGGCCCTCAGCAACCACGAGACCATCCAAGAGACGCCCCGACTGCCACTAGCAGACGCGTTGATTGAAAGGTCAACATTACTAAAGCGTTAAGGTTCTAACGCACCCGTTTAAAAGACAGCAGGTTCGGTATTGAAGAACCTTTAGGCCGTTGACCGTAACAAAGAGAAAACAGCAGCCGGCAAGCCCCAGAATGATTGCTTGAAGGCATGCAAAAACTAGAGGAAAACAGTCCTGTACAAGACCGGATCCATTCTAATATAAAACCCGAAGTCATTCACAAGAGAAAAACGAAGCGTAAGGAGAGCAACTTTTTGGCTATTAGTAAAAGCAGGTACACCTTACTGTTTGAGGCGCTTTGGCATAAACAGCTTCTGGCTGGACGAATGTTGGGTAGATGAACAAGATAACAGCAAGAATAGGAAGGTATCACTAGGAAATATTACAACGGAATATGGGAGCTCAGAGTTTGATCGATGCGAGGCCCATGGCGACTAGGACAGAAAGTATTATGACGGTCATTCCAGTGGTGTTCACTGTCTTCATATCGAAACCGATAGCATAATCCCACGCCTAAAGAAAGATCAAAAGCATGACCATAAACTACTACCGACGACAAAGTGCAGAAATCAAAGTTACACAGAATCTTTGGAGCAAACTTACCAAGTGTCTCATTCCGTTTAGATAGTGGTACACCAAAGGATATGCCAGGACGAACTTGCAACTGCCAAGAACGTAAGGACCAAGATGGAAACTATTGACATAGTCCAGCATGGCATCAAAGTGGCCGGTGTAGAAGAAACCGGCGCAGCCAACCGAGGTCCAAACTAAGTGGGGAGAAATAGCGACGGGTAAAAATCGCGGTCGTTTACCAAATATATACAATTATAATGAAGTGCGAATGGAGCGTACCGAGCGCCATCGCAATACCGGTGGCACGGTGCAAGAAGGAATTTCGCATAACGAGTGGTGGGTGGTAAATTTGCAAGTGTGGAGACCACGGGCGCTTCAGGTCAGCGTTCTTTTGCCAGTACTGTTGCATTTCGGTCTGGGCCGTGTCTCGCACTTCATCACTTGTGCTCCCTTTTCCATGTTTGCACGCAGAAAGGACAGGAGTGCAGCGGAGAAAAGTGGAAGGGACTGAGCGCGAAGTTAGCGAAAGATTGCGGACAGCTAGGCCGCAAAAAGGAGCAGAGCTCGCACGCAGAAGTGCACTACAAAAAAGTCAAAAGAACGTAGTTATAAAATACGTGTAACTCGCGGCCGACGCATCAGCAACTGCAAATTTGGACATTGTGACCGATCATGAGGGTCGAACTACGGCGTTGAAAGCTGTATGCGCGGACGGCTAGATATTACCTAGGCAATTACAGTGAAGTGATATAGCAAAAATCGCCGGGAGGCTAACGTCCGAAATATCACCGGACAAGCTGAATTATTGACAAAACCTCAGGATTGGCAGTGAAAGGGAGCGGGCAATGCCCACAGGCAGTATAGCATAGCAGGGACCACCACGAAGTTCGCTCATCGAGAGCTAGGTAAACGCGACAACTAAACATGCAAAAGACCCCCGCGACGAAGTGGCATCCGGAAACGATAAATTGTGGGCGATAATGCCTCTGGAGGGAGGGAAAACGCATCCTCATGAGAAGGTCAGCCGACAATTCACAGCGAAGACAGCTGTTCAAATAAATATCTAGATCACGACCGATAATTGTCAGCTGCTTAATCAAAGTCTTTAGCAGAGAAATTTTTCAGCAAAAACGTTAAAGAAAGGTTCGGGCGGGTATCAAAAAACACAACCATACACTGTGAGAGCAGACATCATTCGCCTCGGTTGCAGCGCCACCAGTCACTTAAACAAAAGTTGCTGGGTGAAAAACAGGAACGCATAATTCGAAGACTCTGAACTCGAGTTTAACTTTAAGTCCCTGAATAATAGGACACTTTTATGCCAACATTAATAAGGATATTGCACCCCAGCTCAGCACTGAATGGTCTGGCAGAAGTCCAGAAGGGGGGGGGCTGTTAGAGGCAACGCGACGGGCTGAGCAAACGCATGAATAACTCAACCCAAAGGAAAGGGAGACAAAAGTGGTGATGAGGAAATTACGAAAGCGGGTCAAACGAAGAGGGAAAACTTTTGCGCGTCAAAACTACACGACAGTTATGGAACGGCCAAAGCGCTTGTGGGGATCCAGTGAAAAGTGGGCAAACTAACAGGACTAACACCAGACACGAATAATGAAGGGATTGAAGATGAAAAAAACTCGAATGCAAAAACTGAAAGGTCTAAATATTTAGTTGAGTGTTTCCCATTTACGTAGAAAGAAAGGCTGGACGGTAACCTTTGCCAATGCTTGTAGCACAGCTTTTCATTTCTGATATGCCATTCCTAACCAGACTCTCTTATCACATTGATTCGCCTTGGCTCAAAAATCGAGTGTGTCCCTTCTGTAACTTCACGCGGTTATACTTTGATTTTTACCCTACTGAACCCACTTCGTGCATTTTCCCTCTGCTCCGTGAATGCCGTCCACCCAAAGCGTGACTATACATGTATCTTATAAGGTTATGCAGAAGTTACGGGCTTTCGTTGTTTCAGTTATTTGAGCAGTTGGTTGGTTTAAAAAGACGGTTCTTCGGCGCACTGAACGCGATATTGTGAGACTGACAATCCGACTACGGGCCTCCAGTGCGATTTGTACATCGTTTAGATGGGTGTTGATGCCTAACATGATAACAATTCAAGATCTCCAGTGTTGGAGCCATTTTTTAACCCCGAGTTGATTTAAAAACAGGAAACTAGTCTGATGGCGACATTAAAATTTAAGTCAGGCACAAATCCAGGCAGCTTCCCGGCAAATTCTTGTCCGTATACCCGAATGTACTAGCTAATTAGATTATGTCGTGAATCCACAGGTACTGTGGCAGTTCGCGTCTTCCTGCCCTCCGCCTCTGTCATGCTGCCTCCCTGTCCGCTTCATACTTCCTGTCGATCCGCTGCTGGGACGCGCGAGGCTTGTCACTAGCCTCGCGAGTGTTCGAAGCCAATCAACGCTGTCCCTCCTCTGATTGGCTGGCGGACGCTGAGACAACGAAAGGCGCACACACGCGCTGGGTCTGAGCACCTCGACGACGGACACAGGCGAACAATACAACTTGCTTGGTGAGCGCGCTCGCGGCGACTGCTGACAGAGCCTTTGTGTACGCACTTCCACAGCAGTAAATCTTGTCCGACTCAAACCCTCTTCCCTGACTTCTGATTTGTACATCTTTGTCTTGTTGAGTACACTACTTCGACAGTACCCGGATACTAATTACTTAACCAAAATTGGGCTTATGTATGCATCTGCCGCAATATCAAGTGACGAAACCATATCGGCAGGCGAATCGCATCTCGATCTGATCAAACTTCCCTATCGCGCGTGCCCTGTCTGGTTGCGCCTTGTCAACGTGAAAAGACGTGTCTGGGGTGGGGCCGGACGGGGATATCTGAGGTGACTAGGCAGTGGCATTCAACGCGTTAGCCCCGTCTGTCCACTCCTTTGCAGAAAAATGCTCTAGGAGGCTGCTAATTTCCTATTCGTTCTTGCCCCTCATGTCTTCGAATCTGTGGCCTGAGTGCATTCATCGCAAACCGTCGGGTAACCTTATACCCGTAAATGTGTCCTATTGAACCCTTCTTGACTCATCGAAGATAATCCAGTAATAATTACCCAACTTTTGCATAAAAATGCCCTACGTGGCACCTACTGTATAGCAGGCCATAGGAAGGTGGACAGACAACTGTGAGAAAAGATGGATTAGTTAGTCTAATGAAGCGATAAAAATTGCAAAATATATGCACAAGCATTCAATCCTCAGTCATAAAGTTTCAGAGGCCTTCCACACATAAAACAGCGATCCCTTCCCGTGGCAAATAGCGGTTGCCTATAGCAAAATGTGCTCTGAACGAGCTCGAACAGAGCTCTGTTGGAACTCTGATGTGATCATTGAACCGAGCTCGTCCAGAGCTCGCGAAAACGAGCCCAAAACGAGCTTCGAAAACGGGCTTGCGAGCTCGTTCCGAGTTTGGCCAGAGCTCCAAAAAAGAGCTCCAGTGCTTAACCAACCAGGGGCTCCCCTCACTTGTACTGCCTCATTGCCTTTAATTCCCCAAATGTTCCCCTTTTAAGTAATTAAAGGAACACATGTTAAAATAAAGAAAGTTTTATTGGTAAAAAAATACATGGCATCTAATTATTGTTTGAATCCATTAAAGCCCTATGGATGTTGGTTTCCATTGTCATATGTGGGGTCTTCGTTTGTGATGGCGGGGTCTAAAAGGGAGGGATTTCGTAGTGGTAAGTAAACATATTATGCCCATTGGTGGGGTGTTGGGGTGTCAGCGGTGGGCTCACGTGATGGTCGTGGTGGTCGCTCACTTGCTTGCAGGTGAGGCTACTCCTAGCGTCCATTTGCTGGCATCCAACTCTCCCCTGTGGCTCCACGTAGCTGGACTCTGCTCAGCGGCCACACCCAGGGCAACTGCCTCGACCGGCGGGCTAAAGCAGGTGAGGGTATCCGTGCGGGCACCTGCACACGCGGTACTGTGGTCTGCGCTGGCCGGATGGATCTTCGCGTCGACATCGTCGAGACGAGGCTCTGTCTGGACCATCGCAGGAGGCCGCCAAGTAAGTTCTTCTTCAGGTAAGTGAATTTGCTTGTTGATTCCTTTTTCTGTTGAAGTTCCGTGTCGTACGCTGGTCTTGCTGCCTGCCCTCTATTTATTAGTCTGTCTGTTAATAGCTAGATAAAACTCTCGATGCCTGCTTGACTGTCTCTCTGTCATTCTATACCTCTCTCTGCTAATAGCTCGATGTCACGGTGCTTGACTTTGAATGGTGCCCTCTCACTTCTGTCTCTGACTGATGACTGTGTCTGCTTGTCCACTCTAGTTCTAAGTACCATGCGCTTGGTTGTGTGTATGCTCTCTCCTACTTCACTCCATCACATCATCACCACCACCAAGGTCCCAGGCTAATTCGGGTCGTTCTCTCACTAACAAAAAGTCGTGGCCCATAGTGGAGTCCGGCAGCCTTCTTGATAACCGGGCAGCCCTATTCAGGGATGCGCTGCCTGCCCTCGCGAGGGGGAGGGGGTTAGGAAAGGTGCCCTAAAGATCGCTGGGAACCAAGTTGTCTGTAGGCTGGCCGTGGCCGCAGACAAAACACACACGGTCGAAACAGCCAAAACCGAAACAACAACAACAACAATCGCCGCCACAGTCGCCAGACTGGCAGGGTGAGCCCGATCACTCGGGCAGCCTGGAATGTTCATTCCCTTTTAGACAATCCGAGGAGCAACCGACCGGAACGGAGGACGGCGCTAGTGGCACGAGAACTGGCGCGCTACAAGGTGAACATGGCCGCACTCAACGAGACCCGTTTCTCCGAACAAGGCCAACTGGAGGAGGTGGGTGCCGGCTACACCTTCTTCTGGAGTGGTCGACCCAGGGCAGAACGACGAGACGCGGGCGTTTCCTTCGCCATTTGGAACGACATCGTGGAACGACTGCCCTGTTTGCCGCAGGGCATCAACGATCGCCTGATGAGCCTCCGCCTGCCTCTCTGGGGAGGCAAATTCGCCACCATCATCAGCGCCTACGCTCCGACGATGACCAACCCCGACGCCGTCAGAGACAAATTCTACGAGGACCTGCACGCCCTCTGGCGACTGTGTCGAAGGCGGACAAGTTGATTGTCCTTCGTGACTTCAACGTCCGCGTCGGCACAGACCATACTGCCTGGAGAGGAGTGCTGGGTCCCCACGGTCTTATAAGAGACAAACCCACTAGTTGGGCACAGCGAGTAGGCTATCCAGGAAACGAAAATAGCAGTATCCCAACAGTAACAAACTAGTAAATAAGAACAAAGTCGTCAGCAGGTAAACGTGCACGTGCGTGTCCTTTGTCTTATTCAAAGTTGTGTCAAAGCGTATTGTAACTGATTAAAACAAAACAGATTTAAATGTCACTACAATACTCCCCCTCCTAGGAGAACGGAGTTCAAAAAAATATTGTTAATAGAAGGAAAATGTGGGAGTGTTATGCATATTGTACAAGTTGGTAACGGTCGGGAAAACGGACATGACGACCGCTGCGCGTAAGGGGAGGAGTCTGTGGGATAAGGGAAGACGCGGGGTTATTGGGCGTAAATGGAGTCTGGGAAATAGCATGTGGCAATGTGCCAAGTGGGGGTTGTTCTGTTGGAGAAGTTGGAAGAGGCTCGGTATAAGCCGCCTTCAAGCGATCGATTGAAACCACGTTGGTGCGGCCTCCACGGTCAATTGTAAAGTGCTTGTCCTTGCGCGATAGTACTCGAAATGGGCCGTCATAGGGCTGTTGTAGTGGCCGGCGAACGCTATCTACGCGGACAAATACAAAAGAACATGTTAGTAAGTTCGGGTCGACGTACGACTTACTTGTTGAAGGACGTGGAGGAGTGGCTCGAAAATGAGTCATGGCTTGGCGCAATCTTTGCACATAATCGCTGGGATCCAAGTCGCCTGAGCTTTGAGAGTGCCCGAAAAAATCCCCGGGAATCCGTAGGGTGGTACCGTAGACAAGTTCGGCAGCGGAACACTCCAAGTCGGGCTTAAGTGCGGTACGGATATCAAGCATGACCAAAGGCAGATGCTCGCTCCAATGGGAAGGGTTGTCATGAGCTCGGAGCGAGGCTTTGAGTTGCCGGTGGAAACGCTCGACTAAGCCGTTGGATGAGGGGTGGTATGCTGTCGTGCGTATGCGAGAACATCCAAGGAGGTTGGTAAGGCTGTTAAAAAGTCTAGACTCGAATTGTTGGCCTCGATCGGTGGTAATAGTTGAGGGGACGCCATAATGAGAGATCCAGTGTTCCAAAAAAGCATGAGCAACGGAATCTGCAGTTATGTTAGGTATTGGAGTTGCAATGGGCCAACGAGTAAATCGGTCAATCGCAGTAAGTAAGTAGTTGCAACCACGAGATGTTGGAAAGGGACCCACCAGATCGATATGAACATGTGAAAAACGTGCGTCGGGTGCGAGAAAAGTGCCAATGGGGACTTTGTTGTGCCGTCCGACTTTGGCCTTCTGACAGGCCAAACATGAACGGGTCCACTGGCGGATATCAGTGTTCATGCTGGGCCAAACGAACCGCTCGCTAACTAGGCGCTGGGTAGTGCGGATGCCAGGGTGAGCTAGATTGTGCAACGCGGCAAAAACATCTCGTCTCATCTCGTTTGGCACTACGGGTCGGGAGGCACCGCGCGATACGTCACACAAGATTGTACCGGGTTTGGTGGAAAGAGGAATGGCTTCGAGTTGGAGACTAGTGTGTTGAAGGCTGTCACTGAAAGTCAGCTGATTTTGCAGTTCTGCCATGCGCTCCAAATCAATGGAAGGGCGGGTGATGGCATTAATGCCAGGCCGAGAAAGACAGTCAGCAACTTGATTATAAAGGCCTTTAAGAAATCGAATGTCGGTGGTATACTGAGAAATAAAATCGAGATGGCGGGCCTCGCGGGGTGAATACTTGTCAGAAGAAGTAGAGAAAGCATAAGTAAGAGGCTTGTGGTCAGTATAAATACAAAAATCTCGGCCCTCAATATAATTACGAAAATGCTTAATGGCTAAATAAATTGCAAGAAGTTCTCTACCAAAAGTGCTATAGCGAGTTTGTGGGGGTGTCAATTTGGCAGAGTAGAAAGCCAAGGGCTGGGTGCCAGTGGGCGTCTGTTGCTGAAGGGCAGCACCTATAGCGAAATTAGAGGCGTCGGCCACAATGGAAAGTGGGGCATCAGGTATAGGGTGAACAAGGACAGTTGTATCCGCAAGAGCCTTCCTCGCACGATTGAAAGCCTCTACAGCTGTGTCAGGAAAAGAAAACTCACGGTTGTTCCCGCGTAAAAGGTTAGTAAGTGGTAGCATTAATTGAGCACAATGAGGGATGAAACGTCGATAGAAATTGATAAGGCCTATAAAACGGCGCAGTTGTTGAAAAGAAGTGGGAGTAGGGAAATCGCGAATAGCTGAAACTTTGGTATCTATGGGATGACAACCAGAAGCATCTACGCGATGTCCTAGGAAAAACAGCGACTGTGCGCCAAAAACGCATTTAGAAACATTAATGAAAACGCCAAATTGGCTCAATCGTTCAAAAATGAGACGCAAATATTGTAGGTGCTCGTGTTCACTGGAACTTGCTACCAGAACATCGTCGACGTAGACAAAAACGAACGGTAGATCGCGGAGGGCTTCGTTGATGAAACGTTGAAAAGTCTGGGCGGAGTTGCGTAGCCCAAAAGGCATCCTGACAAACTCGAACAGACCGAACGGTGTTGTAATCGTCGTTTTGGGAATGTCTTCTGGAACAACGGGTATCTGATGGAAGGCTTTGACTAAGTCAGTGTTGGAAAATATTGTCGCTCCAGCTAGGCTAGATGAAAAGTCGTGGAGATGGGGAAGTGGATACCTGTCAGGCACCGTGGAGGTGTTTAACCGTCGGTAATCCCCGCATGGGCGCCAGTCAACGAGAGACTTTTTGCACACCATATGTAGAGGTGCAGCCCATGGACTAGTGGAAGGCCTAACTATGCCTAGCTCCATCATGTGACTGAATTCAGCCTTGGCTCTGGCTAACTTATCGGCGGCTAAACGACGGGGACGGCTAAACACGGGTGGTCCAGTAGTTAAAATATAATGTACAACAGAATGCTTGATAGGTTGGTTAAATTGTGAAGGTCGTGTGATAGATGGAAATTCCGAAAGTAAACGATGATAGGGAGTGGACGAAGGGATTGTTGAGATGCGTGGATTAGGTGACGAAAGGGTACGAGTGGAACAATTACAATGTAAAGAAGTCTTAGGATCAAATAATTTATGGGACTTAATGTCAACGAGGAGACCGAAAAAGGATATAAAATCAACGCCAAGAATGGCAGTATGGACATCAGCGATAGTAAATAGCCAACGAAATGAACGTCTTAGACCCAAATCTAGTGTTAGGGATCGTTGACCAAAAGTGTTAATAGAAGTATTGTTAGCTGCTTGGAGGAAAAATGAAGAATTTGGTGACTTACGGTCAGTCAAGGTGGGTGGGATTAGACTGATCTCCGCACCAGTATCCACGAGAAAATTACGACAGGAAGTCCTGTCATAAATGTGGAGTAAGCGACTGGGAGAGGATGTGCCGACCACGTTCGTCGCCCTTACTGGTCGGCAGGGGAGTTTTCCGACGCGGGTGTTTTATATTTGCACGGAGAGTGGCAGCGATGGGCGTTAGAACCATAATTGTGATGATACCAACAGAAACCATCAACTGTAGGTTTGTTTGGAGTGGGAGATCTCGGGCGGCGAGAAATTGCAGGACTACGAGGGTTATAAACGCGAGTGGCCCGGAGCTGGGAAACTTCGAGAGTGAGGGCATCCAGGCGTTTGACGACATCCTCGATTGTGGGGGCAGTTGTGCTTCGACTGGCGACGTTAACCGTAACAGGAGGCTGGTTGTACTCGAGTATACGGTCAGCAGTCTCCGCGAGCATCTGAACAGTCGACGAAGGAATGTTAGGCGCAAGGATGGCTTGCACAGAAGGAGGCAACCGTTGGAGTAAAAGTTGCTTGAACATGGTGGAATCCAGCTTTTGTCCGTCTGCCAACTGCTGCAAACGCCTAAGAAGCTGCGTAGGCTTCCTGTCACCGAGGTCCTCCTCAGAAATTAAACGCTGGAGACGTTTTTGCGTTGAGAGGGAAATGCGGGAAATGAGGGCCTCCTTTAGGGCAGTATAAGAGGCTTCTGTGGGCGGGCAATCTAGGATGTCGCAAAGGTCGGTGGCGATGTCCATTGGGAGTGCTGCCACAACATAGTGAAATTTCGTATCCTCTCATGTGATCTGACGGAGGGCGAATCGTGACTCTACAGTGCGCAGCCATAACGCGATGTCACCGAGCCACACGGATGGCAGGTCAAAAGTGTGAATGCCGGCTATCGGCTGGCTGGTAGAATCGCTGGACATAATTAGCCGGGGTCGGTCAGAGGTCAGATAAATGGGGTAGAGGACTGGCGCGTTGACAGAGAGACTGAAGGGTAGCGCTCGTATTGGATGAAAGGGTGAGACAGTGTGAATAGCAAATAAGGGCTAGATGAATAATCTGATCGATAAGAATTAGAGTGAGGATTAATCCGAATGGAAATAGTTATGCACAGAGATTAAACAGAAGGAGCTATGAACGATATAGGGTCACCAGTATAAGAGACAAACCCATTAGTTGGGCACAGCGAGTAGGCTATCCAGGAAACGAAAATAGCAGTATCCCAACAGTTACAAACTAGTAAATAGGAACAAAGTCGTCAGCAGGTAAACGTGCACGTGCATGTTCTTTGTCTTATTCAAAGTTGTGTCAAAGCGTATTGTAACTGATTAAAACAAAACAGATTTAAATGTCACTACAGTCTCCTCGACTCAAACGACAATGGTCTGCTGCTGCTCCGCAGAACACCGCCTCATCCTGACGAACGCATTCTTCTGTCTGTCGGAGCGAGAGAAGGCCACCTGGAGGCATCCTCGGTCGCGTCAGTGGCTCCCGCTGGACTATGTCCTCGTCCGTGTTATGTATGCAAAACAGAAGGGTAATTGAAATAGGACGTGTACTGAGAACGATAGACAGCACAAGTCAGGAGGCTTGGGGGGAACGGCCGGGTATATGGCAAGGGGGACTGTCATAGGCTAATGGGTGGCCAATCAGCACAAAAAAGGTGTGAACAGGGGGCCATGACCTTGATCGTTAGCTTGTCACGCGTTTGTGGCATGATGTCCTGACGGCCCGAGCCAGATACGCTGCATTCCTCCACCCTAAAGTGGAGAGCATGAGGGGGGGGGGGGAACAGTAAAGGTAATAGGTCAGACAATGTTCTAATAAGATTCGTCCTGAAAGCGTTGGACAGGTTTGCGGATTCGGGTCGACCTTCTCAGGGCGGTATTTTCTACCTCTGCGCCGCTTTGTGCGGTCACTGGCTCCTCTGCCCCTAAGCTAGTGCTGGACGAGGTAGAAGGAGGTGGAACATACGCCTCGGTCGGTGGCGTAGTGCTCTGTGCAGGCAGTAGGGGTTCAGTCCTCGGGATGTCAGGATCCCTATCAAGGGTTGCTGGCAGTTCGAACTTTCCGAATTCTCTACTTGTTGTGTCCGTTCGGCTTCGAACTTGGTCCAGATGTCGACGCACAATTCTCCCATCTTCTAACTCTAATTCCACTATTTGCCCCTCGCTTGTTCGAACTACCGCTGGACACCAGTTCGTTTCGTGTTCCAGTCGCGTGTAGACACTTTCGTTAGGCGCGACGACTCGTGGTCGGGTGTTCACATCATAACGTTCTTTCATCTTCGTCTGTTTTGCAATGACCCTATCCTGCGTTGATGGGTTAAGCAGGTCGAGTCGTGTGCGCAACTGCCGCTTGAACATCAATTCTGCAGGCGAAGCACCGGTTGAGTCGTTCGGTGTTATGCGATAGCTGAATAGAAAGCGTGACAACTTGGTGGCCAAGTCCGCTTCTGTCTGTCTGGCTAGTCCGTGCTTTATTGTCTGGACTGCACGCTCTGCGAGGCCATTTGAAGCAGCGTGGTACTGGGCAGTAGTTAAATGTCTAATTCCATTTTTCTCCATGAAATCTTTAAATTCTGCACTAGTAAAGGCCGGACCATTGTCTGAAACGACCATTTCAGGTATCCCAAAAATAGAAAAAACGGTTCGCAACTTGTTGATTGTAGTCAGTGAAGAACAAGAATTTCCTGTCGGAATCGCATCTATCCATTTCGTGTGGGCGTCAACTACCACCAAAACCATATGGCCTTGGAATGGCCCAAAATAATCGACGTGTACCCTCTTCCACGGTGAGTCGAGCCAGGCCCAAGGCTTCAGAGGAACCTTCGGTAAGGTCTTCTGTGTTATTTGGCACACGTGACATGCTTTCACCACGTTTTCTATATCTACGTCAATTTTGGGCCACCAAACATAACTGCGGGCGAGAGCTTTCATTCTAACTGTACCAGGATGAGCATTATGCAGGTCTCTGAGGATGGCCCGTCGGCCTTGTGGTGGCACAACTACACGATTGCCCCATAGTATGCATCCGTCTTGTAGACTTAACTCGTTCTGACGGCTGAAGAATGGTTGAAAATCAGAGGAGGTAGAGGACGGCCAGCCAGATTGCAAGGCTCTTTTTACCTGACTCAGGAGAGGGTCTCTCGATGTCCACTGTAGAATTTGTTGACAGGTTACAGGTGAGTTGACTAGGTTCTGCAAAAGATTCACGGTCTCAAAAACAGGTGCCCCGTTAATGCCATCGTCCACGATAGGCAGCCTACTCAAGGCGTCAGCCACTACGTTTGCACTACCTGTAATGTACTTCATTGCATTCGTGTAAGCAGACAAAGTGAGTGCCCAACGTTGCATTCTCGGCGAGGACATCTGTTGTATCCCTCGTTTTTCTCCCAGCAAACCTAAGAGGGGTTTGTGATCAGTGTGAATCTCAAAGGGTCGGCCAAAAAGATACAGGTGGAAGCGATGTAGGCCAAACATTATTGCTAAGGCCTCTTTGTCTAGTTGCGAATAGTTGGTTTCCGCCTGTGACATGGTTCTTGATGCAAAGGCAATCGGCATCTCCGCACCAGAAGGCATTCGATGCATGAGAACCGCACCTACGCCGTACGGATACGCATCACATTTCAGTATGGTAGGCTTTTCGGGGTCATAGTGAACTAGGACAGATGAGGAGGTAAGAGCCGCCTTCGCTTGTTCAAAAGCACTTTGTTCGACCTCCGACCAGTGCCAGCAACGATTCTTTTCAAGTAGTCGATAAAGAGGCTTTAGAATTGTAGCCGATTGATTCATAAAGCGACTAAAGTGGGTGACCAACCCCAGGAATGAACGCAATTGACTAGTATTGTTGGGGCGCGGCGCCGTCTTCAAGGCTTTGAGCTTATGTTCGAGTGGATGGAGGCCAGTTTTATCCACCCTGAAGCCCAGGTATTCTACCGAGTCGGCAAGGAAAGTGCACTTATCTTTCCTGAGTTTAAAACCTGCGTCCTCTAAACGTCCTAACACGATGTTTAGAGTCTCTAGATGACTAACTTCAGATGGGCCAAAGAAGGTGTGAACAGGGGGCCATGACCTTGATCGTTAGCTTGTCACGCGTTTGTGGCATGATGTCCTGACGGCCCGAGCCAGATACGCTGCAGTCCGGAGGCGAGACCAGCGGGACGTGCTGGTGACAAAGGCGATTGCGGGCGCTGACGGGTGGACCGACCATCGCCTCGTCATCTCGAAGATGTGTATTCGCCTATAGCCTCGCGGGAGACCACAAGGTAAGCGACCCCCAGGTAAGCTGCTTTGCTGTCTTTGCCCGCTCACCATCTCCATTTCAGCAATGAGCTAGTTCGACGGCTAGAAAACCTTCCTATCGCTGCCGCCGCCGATGCTGCCGCTGCCGAGAACGCCTCCGTGGAGAACCGCTGGTGTCAACTGCGAGACACGGTCCAGTCGACGGCGCTTGCCGTCCTCGGTCGCGCACGCCGCCAACACCAGGATTGTTTCGTCGACAACGACGTCGCCATCAGCAATCTGCTCGCCGAGAAGAACCGCCTACACAAAGCCTACGCAGACCACCACACTGACGACAACAGAGCTGCCTTTTACTGCAGTCGCTGCCAACTTCAGCAACGACTGCGCGAGATTCAGGACGCCTGGACTGCTCGCAAAGCTGAGGAAATCCAAGGCTACGCGGACCGCAACGAGTGGAAGAACTTCTTCTCCGCGATCAAAGTTGTCTACGGTCCGCCGACGAAGGGCACTGCTCCTCTCCTCAGCGCCGACGGTAGCACTCTCCTGACTGAGAAGACACAAATTCTACAGAGATGGGCCGAGCATTTCCGAGGCGTCCTCAACCGCCCCTCCGCCATCTCCGACGTCGCCATCGCCCGTTTGCCGCAAGTGGAGACCAACGTGGACCTCGACCTCCCGCCATCTCTCCAGGAAACGATCAGGGCCGTGCAGCAGCTCTCCAGCGGGAAAGCACCCGGATCGGACGCCATCCCTGCTGAGGTCTACAAGCACGGAGGTCCCCAACTGATGGATCACCTGACTGCGCTCTTCCAAGAGATGTGGCGTCAAGGTGAAGTCCCGCAAGATTTCAAAGACGCAACCATCATGCATCTCTACAAGCGCAAAGGGAATCGCCAAGTCTGCGACAATCATCGCGGCATCTCCCTGCTGAACATCGCTGGGAAGATCTTCGCTCGCATCCTTCTCAACCGCCTCAATAACCATCTGGAACAGGGCCTTCTGCCGGAAAGCCAATGCGGCTTCCGTCGTCATCGTGGGACCACGGATATGATCTTCGCCGCCCGTCAACTTCAGGAAAAGTGTCAAGAGATGCGGACCCACCTGTACTCTACGTTCGGGGACCTGACGAAAGCCTTCGACACGGTGAATCGTGAAGGACTGTGGAAGATCATGCAGAAATTCGGCTGTCCGGAGCGATTCACTCAGGTGGTGCGTCAGCTGCACGACGGTATGATGGCGCGAGTCACGGACAACGGAGCGGTCTCGGAGGCATTCTCAGTGACCAACGGAGTGAAGCAGGGATGCGTGCTGGCACCAACCCTCTTCAGTCTTATGTTCTCTGCCATGCTGATGGACGCCTACCGCGACGAACGTCCTGGAATCCGCATCGCCTACAGGAAGGACAGTCAGCTCCTGAATCAACGGCGGATGCACTTCCAATCGCGCGTCTCCACAACCAACGTTCACGAACTTCTCTTCGCCGACGACCGCGCCCTGAACACCACCTC